GCCACTCGGGAGAAGACACTCGTCAAACATGTCTGGTAAATACTAATTAGATGCATGTGAACTCTTCATAAGCTGTACTGTAATCGTGGCTTGTACTAATTATGTCAGCTCTCAAATAGTGTAATGCTTGTTTGGCATGCTAGTCCTCTGGTGATCTAACAGGATTGCATCTCGTAGTTAGGTTTTGTCATGCCTTGTGTACAACGAGGCTGCAGAATGCCATGCAACCGGTCAGCGTCTTTTCGTGAAACTATTTAAGCGTAATTAAGGAGTGAGGGCATGAGGACCAAGTGGGACAATCGGTCCAGTAACTCACATTGTATGTGTGAGTGGCCTGCCTGCCGTTACTGCGCATTGCACCCGACTTGCATTATAGTTAATAAAAGCATTTTGCTAATTTATTAAGCTACACTTTGCTAGCAGGAAATCAGGGAAAATTTACGAATTTGTGTATTATCAACCAATTTTTAATATATTCGTCCAGTAAAACTTAGACATCTTCATTTCAACCTCCCATTTTCATTGTGGAGATGCTATATGTGAGAGTCATATATAATTGATGACACACAAGAAAGGAATCGCATACGCTTTAGCTGGCTTCACACGCTGGATCTGTATCTAACTTCATATTGCTCGGCAACAAGATGGCTCTGTTACTTGAAAAGATTTAGTCCTTTTACTATACAAACTCTGATAACAATTTATTGATGAAATCTTCTTCGTTTCAATTTATTTCATTAAAAATAAAAATTGGAGGTAAATATCAAAATGTTATCGGTAAGGTCAAAGTTCCCGCACATTCGTGTTGATGGCGGGGAAAAATGTACTTGAAGGCGAGCGGCAGTGCGACAGTGCGACATGATGTATTTAACATCGTATTTGTAACATCATCACACGTTCGTTCGTGGTCCTAGTATTAGAGTGACAGCACTTTCAGTTAGTAAGGTGGCACAATGAGATAGCGCTGGTGGGGGCCAGGTATGCGGTGGGAAGAATACTCAGACTGCTACGAGAGTTTTCGTGTAATTATTTCTATTCTCTATGACAATTGAATGTGCCCATTGTATCACACTGCTAATAGTAATCGAACTATGTACAATGTAATCAAGTAATAATAACGTGGATCGGTGCAAAAGCCTCAATGTTCATTATATACCGCGATGAAAATAAATTTTACTTGAAGCGTGAACTTGACTAACTATGTGGGTGTGGTTGATGCAAAAAGAATCTGTTTTTATACCTACCATCCCCACCAATAAAATTCTAAGAGTTGATGTTACACCAATGAAAGGTAATTTAATGGCATGCTGATCGCATTTCATATGCTTTATTCGCGATACTTCTCTTGGGCTTAGCTGGTGAAACGTGTTAATACCCTATTTATGATCGTTGTTTAACGGAGCATGCTAAGTTGCTTTGTATGTCTTTTCCAAGGCCGTAGGCTATACGCCCGGGACGCCCAGCTCCCAGGCTACTGCGAGCGGACTCAATTTTTATTTTTAGTGAAAACAATGTTTTTACCATAATATTACTTACCTTTAGGTATTTTGTATCTCTTGGGATCATCGTAATACAATTCATACCATTAAAGAGCAGTTTATTTGTGGCTAGCAACTAAAATTTGTTTTGGTTTGCCTACAGAAAGGATGGCTTGAGGATACTAAAGGAAAGCCTCATTCGCAGCATCACCAGTGCCTGTGTTCTAGCACGCAAAGGGAGATTGAAACCGCTTGGATTTGTGCCTTCAACTGTCACATCACGTAGTAAGCCGTGAGCAGACCAACTAGACTATTCAGCTGCTCGATTCATTATACATCACCTCACTCATCGGCTGTGGTTAGTCACAATTGTTTGTCGGCAACGATTTCTTGTTCATTCTGCCATAAGATTCGACACGTCCCTTGCTGGTGTTTGGTCAACGTTTCGAAGGGATCGGCGAGAAATTTTGTTGATAGGCCACGAAGCCACCGTTCCTGTCCAACAACAACAAACCGCATTACGTGATCGAGCACCAAACATCAAGGCAAGGCGAAGCATTGTCATCTGATAGCAAGCGTGTGCCCTCACAACCGAGACGACTCCGACCGCAGCTTTTTTTTTTTTTTTTCCCGCCTTCAATCTCGCCCGAGACGCGCACCAGGTGGGTGGTCGCCGCCTCTCGTCAGACCCACCAGTCGTACACGCGACGCCATGCTGCGCGGGCTATGTGATGCGGTACAAAACTAAAAGGCAGGGGCGCGGGAAGCGCGCATCGTGTAGCCTGGGAAATCCGCAAACACAATGCTCACCAGTGAATGTAAGCAAGATGCCTACGTTAGCAAAGCAGGACGCCACCGCCGCACAGCCACATGCGAGTCGAACTGGCTCGAGGATCTATCACGGCAAGCTGACGAAGCCAAACCACAAGGCACTGAAGGGCAGGCCCAATCGAGAAGGTGATTCCGCATCTTCAACGAGCGCGCTCTTCCAGGCGCTGCTCGACATCCAGGAGTTCTAGCCGAGCTGAGGCTACTCGACGAACTGCGAAGAGCTGGCAGCAGAAAGACGCTTGAGACGCTGTCAGATCGCGCAGGAGTGGGAGAAGGAGGCCAGTCCGATACGCTCGCTCTCGCCTCGGCTGCTGGAGAAGACGCGGCAGGAGTCGCTCGACGACGCCTCGTTCGCCAGAGCCGCCTCAGCCGCCGTCCGATCGCGTCACGGGACGGCCTCACCTCCGGCGTCATCGCCGGCGGCGACAACATACCACACGTCGCGGTCGTCGACGCCGCGCCGGACCGTGTCGCCGTCGACTGAGCCACCGTTCACGATTGCCCGGTTAACCGGTCGCGGCGAAAACTGCCGAGGCATCGACAGCGCTCGACTCGCCCGGAGCAGCAGCTTCCACACTCCGACGGTCGGCGAACGAACGGTGGACGAGGACGACTCGGGAGCGGGGAGGAAGAATGTCACTGAGCGCGGCAGCACTGGGCTGGCTTCAGCATCGCCGCGGCACCCGGAGAAGAGACAACGACAGCCGCAGCGTCGAGAACGACCCAAGCATCTACATCACCAAAGCTGATCCCACGGCGGCGGCGGCAAGAGCCGTGCGACGGACGGCCTGCGCGTGAGACGACATCATCGAGCGCGTGAAGCGGACGCCGACGACGCGCATGGCGTCCCGGACGCGACTGCCGCCGCCGGGCCGTCGAGGCCCTGAAAGCGGCGCCGGATGCACAGGTGCACCTCAGCATCCGCGGCGGCAGCGACCCGCCGACAGTCGAGAGGTCATCGAGCTGCGTCCAAGGGAAACCCGCGGGCTGCTTCAGTCACCGCGGGCGCATCGGCAACCCAGCACGTGCCCGGCGACGCGACGCATCTTCGTTGACCGAAGATCATCGAGGGCGGTGCGGCGCACCTGGTGCTCGAGGCCGCATTGCAGGTGAACGACCGGCTGGGTGTGTGTCGGCGAGCGCTACGCTCGAGGGAATACGCACGAGGAAGCCGTCCTCCAAATCCTGAAGGCCACCGCCAGACCGCGTCCCTCTCCTCATCGTCGCCAAGGCCAACGGAGCTGCGGCAGCGGTGCGGATGCCGACGACTGCGCCGCGCTCCGCCGCCACCGATCGTCGCCCGCGAACCGCCGCCGCGGATGTAGACGGGGCTTGT